TTAAAATATTATGGAGGCCTTGACATTTAACGTTGGCTATTTTCGCTTACAAACTGATCATGAGTCACACCTGTGACTAAATATTATGGCGGTCTTGACATTTAACGTTGGCCTACTTTCGCTTATGAACTGATCATGAGTCACACCTGTGACTAAATGTTATGGCGGCCTTGACATTTAACGTTGGCTTATTTTTGCTTACAACCTGACCATGAGTCATACTTATGACTATTCGGTCGACCTATTTTGTTTTCAAAGAGTTATACTTTGTCATAATAATTCCTTTCTTGTAATTAACAAACATATAGTTTGCTTGAATTTAAGCTTTTATAATAAATATTAATCATCTCAATATCGTTTTAGATATACTTTACAATTTTTATAATAATAATGATTACATCATATAATTAGTATATCTAAAATATATCAGTATAACTCTTTTTACATTTGTAATGCATTATTTATTTAATGTTTTCAGGTACAAAATGGCTCTGATTGTGATTGGTTGAATTGTTAGGGTAGTTTTCCATGCATACTAATATTCAAGATTTTTGTCATAGCCATAGGATTAGTGTTAATGAAAAAAGGGAAGTAACAATTATAAATATAAGTCTAGGATGAAGGTTTCTAGAAGTTGAACTGGTTTATATACGAAGATTTGCCCGCTGAACTGATTTGAGTTTTTGAGTTAAGTGTATTTAAGGAAATTTATAATTGTTTAAATATCTTCTAAACGGTGCGAGTTAGGTAGGTATGTGTAATGAGGTAAGTTGCAGGATTTCCTGTGTGTTGTCCGAATCTTTCATAATAATTATTTGTTAATATAATAATTTATTTATTTATAAATTTTATTAAACGAAATTTAAATCGTAGAATTTCTTTTCTGAGATAAAATATGTTTCTATCGGGGTTGTATATATAATTTCATAAAGAAAACTATATCTTATAAGGAAATGTATAATGTACGTATAATGTACGTATATAATGTATAATGTACGTATATAGTATACATGTGTGTGTGCTTTCATATACCCTTAATTTTGTTTATATCTTGAGAATTAAGAATCGTAACCACAAACTATATTTATGTTTTCGAAAGGATTTTTGATGGAGAATGTATTCATGCAAGGAAAATATATCCATATAAAGACATCAACAAAATTTATCCTTGAAATAAGGATATGTATCAGGTGAACTGTTGAATAAATGTTTTGTCATGGATTTTGTTATATTGTCATTATGACTTTTATTCCTTATTCATATCCTTTCTATTGTTATTAGTTTTGTTATTAACTTTTATATTTATTATTAAAATGGAACAAAAGTGAAAGTGTTTGATATACAAGAGTTTCTTAGTTTCTGAAGTTATATTTGACGATATAAAGAAATTGGTTGGTATTTTGTTATT